CACTGTCTTGGGGAGGGAGAGAAAAATTTAAAACTCAAAAGCTTATGGAAGGGATTGTTGAAAACTAAAAATAAATTAATCAGCAAAAAGAAAAGTTCACAGTGAACCTGGGTAGAGGGCTATGAACTCATAAAAAATTAAGCAACAATAGGGATAGGAACAGGACCAGTCATTTCACTGGTTTCAGGAACTCTGAGATGATGGAAATTCCCTCTAGCAATAGGTCAGCACCTTCTCTTCAATATACAGCCACAGAGTTGCTTAGATTACTGAGACATTAGATAGTCTTCCCCAATCTCTCTTAATACTAGTGCCTTCCCTCTGTTAATTATTTCCTATTAGCCCTGCATGGAGCTTGTTTGTACATATCTGTTTGCTTGTTGTCTCCTCCATTAGACTATAAGCTCCTTGAGGGCAGGGACTGTCTTTTTGCCTTCCTTTGAATCCCCAGCTCTTAGCACAATGCCTGGCATATATTAAGTGTTCAATAAATACTTATTGACTGGCAGGTAATTTGCCCAGTATGTATCAGAGACATGACTTGAGCCCAGGCCATCCTGGTTTCAAGGCCAGCTCTTTACAGTGCCATAATACCTCTATAAATAAAAATAGAAGAGTTAAATGACAATTAAAAAAAGTTTAATATGTTTTGAATGACCGTGCATGTATAACCTATATCAGATTGCTTGCCTTCTTGAAGAGAAGGGGGAAGAGAGAGAATTTGGAACTCAAAGTTTTTTTAAAAATGAATATTAAAAATTGTTTTTACACATAACAGGAAAAATATTTTTAAAAAAGAAAATAACTTAAGAAATGACACAAGGCTGTGATGAATTGCCAATTGACAAGTATAGACAATGAGTATCACCTGTTCTGGGAAGAGATAAATCACCTGGGCTAGAATACTTAGAATACTTCATGCTGGAGAGAAGCTAGGCTCTAAAGGATTGGTGACATACGTGTGTGTGTGTGTGTGTGTGTATATGCACACACACACACACACACACACACATATGTCATTCAACAGCATTCTAACAGCCCGTATTAGCCTGAGGGGGGAGCCAGTGTTCAATGAAAACCAAAACATAGGCTTGGGCCTCTCTCTATTTGAGATGGGAATCTTAGTTTACTAAGTCAATCAAAGCAAACATAAACATAAAATTGAAGATGTGGTCACCCCCTTCAGTGGGTATGCACTATAATTATAGGATATTAAATTTGGGTAGCATCTTAGGGCTATCCAGTTCAGCTAATTTGGATCGAATCTCACCTCTCATACCTGTTGTTCGGTTGTATCCAACTCTTCATGTCCCCATTTGGAGTTTTCTTGGCAGAGACTGGAGTGGTTTGCCATTTCCTTCTCCAGCTCATTTTACAGATGAGGAAACTGAGGCAGTAAAGGGTTAAGTGACTTGCCCAGCGTCACACAGCTAGCAATTGTCTGAGGATAGACTTGAACTCAGGAAGACGAGTCTTCCTGACTCCAGGCCTAACACACTATCCACTGCAACACCCGCTTACCAACTATGTAATATTGAGCAAGTCATTTAATCACCTGGCCTTCAATTTCCTCATCCATAAAATGAAAGGGTTGGGTCAGATGGCCCCTAAGGTCCATTCCAGTTCTCAATCTATGATCCTATAAACCTTTGTCTCCCTATTGGTAGAAGTAGGCATTGAAGCCATTTGTTTAAGGTCACAGACCTGGTAAGGCACAGGACAGGGCTGAAACTCGAACCCAGATCTCCTTACTCTCATTCTTCTGACTCCACCTACTAGCCCACAATGCCTGGAGAGAAACAATAACTCTGAGTATGCATGAGTGTTTGCATAATTGTCCTAGGTGTCTGAGGAGAAAGGTGCCAACAATGGTCCTTTCTAAGCCTCTTTGTCACTAAAAGGATTAGTGCATGATTGTATTACATTTGGAACACGTGCACATGTATGGTATGATAACGTGAAATCCAATGAGATCATGTATGTGAACCATTCTATAAATCAGAAAGCGCAATCTAGATGTTAGCTAGTATTACTGTAATCCAAATATTTATAATCCATTCTAAAGAGTGCCTGTCCCCCTGGGCCCAAAGGAGAAAACTTTCCGAGGGAAGGCAGAAGGGTGAGGCCACTTCCATCCTGGCATTAATTTATTTTTTGCTGTAAAATACCATAGGGTGGCATTTACTTCACCACTTGGAAAAAAAAAAGTGGAATCTAAGCACATCAACAATGATGCTATGCACATCCTCCAAACAGATGGAAAAACAGTGTGTTTTTATTCCAGCAAGTGGGGCTTTCTGACACGACTAAAGGGGCATCCTCTTGCCTCTCTGGCATTTTCTAAATGCAAAGACTGTTTTCCTGATGTAGCATAAAGCCCAGGACACTTTATGGCACCCCCCAGCCCCACAGAATAGGGTCCGGACCTGTGATTTCACTGGCAGGGGGAACTCTCTCTGATCAAAGCAGGTTTCTGCAACTTAGAGTTTTTAGAATTGCCTAGAGCACTGAGTGTGCAAATGACTTACCCAGCCACTATATATTAGAGATGAAACTTGAACCCAAGCTTTCTTGGCTTTGAGGCCAGCTCTGTCTTTACTCACTTTATTCACCATGCTGCCTCCAAATGGTCTCTGAATCACACACATATCTGACATAGATATGTAGTATGGATGGATACATATGTACTTGTAGGCAGAGCTTGGGCAAATTCTCTCATGACTAGTTCCTTGGCTGGAGGTTAAAGCTAAGGCAGCTAGTATTCACTAAGTCAATGTAATTTGGAAATTGTTATCTCAGGAGCTGGTAGTGACCTGAAACAGGTTCTCAAGGGCTCTCTCCCCATTCCTGTCCCTTTTCTCCTGCTTCTGCTGCTACTTCTAGGGGAATTCTTGGTCTGGGAAGAAATAAATAAGGGATGAGAAAAATCACCAAAAGGTAGAAATGTTGGCATTTTAAGACAAAAATTTTCTGAGGATAGACTATATAGTTTACGTGTATATTATGTAAGCCATGTGCAAATGCACTTTATTTCCCTCACCTACCCTCCAACAAATTCCCCATTTTTCATATACCTTTGAGTACCACCCTAGATAAAATTCTCATCAAGTGTAGCTTAGTGGATAGAAGCCGGGCCTGCAGTCAGGAAGACCTGAGTTCCAATCCAACTTCGGACACTAGCTCTTCAACCTTGGGCAAGACACCTAACCTCTGTTTGCCTTACTTTCCTCATCTGTAAAATGGGGATGATAAATGCTCCTACATCCCAGAGTTATTGTGAGTTTAAAATGGGATAATGTTTGTAATAGCACTTAGCACAGTGCCTGGCACATAGTAGATGCTATATAAATGCTAGCTATTATTATATTATTATTAATAAGGTGTCTGCTGTGGGGTATTAAGGGAAGGATAGATAAAGACCATGAAAAGGGCAAAGAACTGAGGGAATTAATTTCTGTCTGGACATAGAGGTTTTGGGAAGCCAACCAAGGGTCTTACCTGGGCTCCCTACTGCCAAGCTGCACAGTAGCAGGTCTTTGACTGAGGGAGATCCAGATAGGATTGCCTTTTCCCAGCCCAGGCCCACAGCATTCTGCCTCTGCCAATGGTTCTATGAGTCTGCAAATTCACATTGCTGGGAGGGGGAGGAGGTGTGTGTTCGAACTGAGGGCCTCATAGTCACGCCAAGTACAACCTGTGCCAAGGCTGGAGTGAGTGGGAGAAGGGAGCCTCGAGGGTGTAAATAGGGAGGGGGGTTTTAAGGCTTGAGGTAAGACTGACAGCAAAACTTTTCCTTCTTCATGCTCCTTCTCCTCCCACCCCCAGCTGGAATTTTGGCATCAGACCCAGTTGCAATGGAGCCGGCTCCCATCCAATCCCAAGTGTGTATATGTGCACATTCTGGTTTACTGGAAATGGACTTAGGGAGAACTGGTCATAAAGTCCTTATTTCACTCCTATCTTCGTGTACAAAACCAAAAATAAAGGTGAAGGTAGAGAGAGAAAGAAAAACAAACAAACAAATGTTGATAATAACCAAGCGATTTTTCCATTGAGCTACCAGAGGTGCTTTTTAAAAATGAGGATGAAGGTAATGAGGAAAGACAGGAAGGCAGGGCCCTTGGTTTCTGGCTTTTTCTATCATTCCTCCCCTGCTGTCCAACAGACAGAGGTGCGTGATGTGCCTGCCACTCAGCTCAGACCTCAATCTGTCCCAGTCCTGTCCTTCTTCTTTGGGTCCCTATCTCTCTTCTCTCTCTCTGACAACTTTGAGGATTGGAAAGCTCTCGAGAAATCACCAGTCCTAGGGCTTTATGCCAGCGACAGGGCACCGCCCTGGGTCCTCTTCTCTCTCCTCTAGCCCATAAAAAAGCATTTTTCCTTCTCCCTTAGCCCATTTAAAAGAAAAAAGGGAAGGAAGGGGGTTAGATGCCATGTGGGAACGAGATAGAGAAGTGGGTCTATTCGAGCCAGCTTGAATATCAACCAGGCCGGCAGAGGAAAGTGTGGACGGGGTGCAAGGGAGGGGAATGAACTAGCAGACCCATGGGTAGGGCGGGCTGCCCGCGGATCTTAGCACCAAGGCTCTGAGGAGTATCCTCCAGCTGCAGCTCATCTGGCACCTCCAATTCTACCTAAAAAGTTTCCAGCTCCCCGGTAACTGGGAAGGGGCGGAGAAGTTAGTAATGAGGTGGCGTCGGGGGAAAGGCTCCGGCCCCTCCACTCCCTCCCTCTTTCCCGGGATGTCGCCCACTTCCTTCTACCCACCACCGCTTGTTTTTCCAACCCGACAGCGCCCCCGCCTCAAAGGCACGCAGCTTCTGGGGTGGGCTGGGCACTCGTCGCTTCCATCCAGGACGCCCCTGGGGATGGCAGTTGCACACCCTCAGCCTAGTCAGAATCGCACCTTCGATGGCCTCCTCCGCGCCCCCCAATCCTGGCCAGCCGCTTTGCAGTCACCCCGCATTTGGAAGGAATCCCACCCGCCCACCTCTCCTTACCCAGTCCCGGCACGAAAGTGTTGAGGAACAAGCAGATGACTGCCACGGGGAATGGCATGTAGGGGATCGCTGCACGCAGGGGGCCTTTCTTCTCCCGCACCTGCACCACTACCCCGCTGGACGAGGATGCTCCCCGAGGGTCCGCGGCTGCAGCCGTTGCGGCTGCCGCGGCCGCCGCCGTGGTCTCCCCGTCTTTGTGGGGATGTTCCATGGCTTCTACGAGCTCCCTGGGACGCAGAAGGGCTTACAGGAGGCTGCTGGGGAGGTGATGGGCTGTGCGCTCCCTCCAGTCCACACTCCCGGAATCTTCCTAGCTCACAGGTGGGGAGAGCCGAGGGTCAGTGGCGGCTGCTGCGTCCTCCACCCGGCTCTCAGGGAAAGCGCTCAGCAGCCCAGCCTCTCCGTCCGGGGACTAGATGCTCCGAAAACTCTCTTTCTCGAGCACACACGCGTCAACACACACATATACACACTCACACAGGCGAAGGAAAGGAAAGGGCAGCGTGACACTTCAGTGACAGTCGTTCATTGCCCCTCCCCCCGCCTGACTTCTTCCCCGCCCCCCATCCTTCACCCCCACTCTCAAAATGAGAACGATGGAAGAGAAATTTTAGGTTGATGTTAAACAAAGCGAAGCTCGTAGGGAGGAGAATTGTTGGTGCTGGAGATTAGAAATCACTCTCCCTTCCTGAAGAAAACTATATAAAATTTCCGAGAAGGAAGAATATATAAGCACATTCTGTCTTTATTCATCTGCCACCCTTTCATTTTTACATACTTGGGCTAATTTGTCCTTACAAACATGCCTAATATGGAAAGTCGCCCGTGGATTGTTGCCTTAGAGAGATACATTTCACAAATGAGGAAACTAAGGCAGGGAGTGGTTTCGTGATTTGTTTCAGGTCACGTAGAAAAATCAATGAGGGAGCCTATGGTAGAGCTCAGGGCTTTGGGTGGGGACTCCTCTTTGTGAGCATCACCGCCCGAGATCTTAACAGGATTCTGCAAACAAAGATCCCCTGCCGCGGGACAAGAACGAGAGGTGAAATCAATCTCTGCTGGAATCATCTCCAAGAATACTGTGGGGACCGGGAAAGAGAAGCCCCCTCAACATAGGTATATATAAAGCTTGTAGGGAAGGAGACAGCGCCGTCTGGTGGTTAGCGCTCAACAGTTGGGTACCCAAGTTCTGTGTCTTCCACAATTCACTTCAGAAGAAAAAAAAAATCAATGTTTAAATAAATAACTGAATAATGCCCATTCTTTTCCCCTATCAAAATTAGCAAAGAAATGAAAAACGAGATGGACTACTATTAAGGAGGCCTCAATGGAAGATGACCTGAATTTTCCAAACTGACTCAAATTATCTAGATAATTGTGCAACCCTTTCACTTTTGTACATACACAAAAGTAACCTCCATGGTTTGTTTCTGTTTCTCTAGAAATAATGGCGCCTGAGTTTTCGCACAATTTCATTTTTTTAAAATGTCCACTACAAAGTATTAGCGATCTTTTTAGGAAAGACTGTTAAAAAAAAATAGGGATTGTTATTTTCTAGGTCAATGGATAAGTTATTTTCTAGGTCAGTGGCCAAAGACACCTTTCACACTGACAGCCAGGAAGAGACAGTGATATTGATTGCTTCTCAGTCTAGGCAATTACTCCCTAAATTGGGTGCCACTTAAGTAACAGTAAATAAGTAATAGATTTGGGAAATTAAGTATAAACTAAGATGTCTTATTGTTCAGTTGGGTTGATTCTTCATGGCCCTATTTGGGGTTTTCTTGGCAAAGATACAGGAGTGGTTTGCATTTCCCTCTCCAACTCATTTTACAGATGAGGAAACTGAGACAAACAGGGTAAGTGACTTGCCCAGGGTCACAGAGCTAGTAAATGTCTGAGGCCAGATTTGAATTTAGGAAGACGAATCTTCCTGACTCCAGACCCGGCACTCTATCCACTGTGCACCAAGCTGTCCCCTTACTGAAATGTCTATCTATCCCTAAAACCTTAGAAGCAGTTTGCCATAGTGAATAAAATGCTAGACCTAGCGTCAGGAAAACTTGGGTTTAAATTCTGACTCAGATTCTTACTAGCTATGCATCACTGAACCTTATCCGTAAAATGGGGAAAATAATAGCACCTACCTCACAGGGTTGTTGTGAAAATCAAATGAAATAATGAATGAAAAGTGCTTTACAAACCTTTAAGATAGTAAAACTTAAAACCGCACAGACTTTTGGGACACCCTGTATAAATGTGAGTTCCTAGGCTGTACCCTGGGCAGTTAGGTGATACAGTGGGTAAAGTGTTCAACATAGAGTCAGGAAGACTCCTCTTCATGAGTTCAAATCTGGCCTCTGGAACTTACTAGCTATGTGACCCTGGGCAAGTCACTTAACCCTGTTTGCCTCAGTTCCTTCATCTGTAAAATGAGCTGGAGAAGGAAATAGCAAGCCACTCCAGTATCTTTGCCAAGAAAACCCCAAAAGGGATCATGAAGAGTCAGACACAACTAAAATGACTCAACAACACAACAAAAGGCCCTGAACTAACAGGATGGCTTAGGAGAAGAAAAAAAGATCTGCAGGTAAGTCCTTCTGGGAATTGGGTATAAATAGAATTGCTGTCAGGTCTTCAAATAGGGCCCCTTTGTCTAGTGAAAAAACAATGGAAGGGAAAGACCTCTGGTCTCAAGTCAAGAGACCTCAATTGGAGTATCAACCACGTTACTAACTGGCTTTTATGACCTTGGCCAAAACTCTCCAAAACTCAGTTTCTTCATCATTAAAGGAAATTGGATAAAGTGGTCTACAAATTATCTTCTAGTGCTAGTATTCTGCAATGAATATTTGAAGTGCCCTGGTCCCATTTCTGGACCTTGAAGTGTGGGGTGTTGGGGGCCGGGAGTTGGGGGAAGGCATGGTGTGAAGCTGTCTCGGCATTTCTACTTGACTGTCTGGAGACCATTTCAGGTAGTCAGTATCCTTTCAAAGAAAAGCCCAACCTTTAAATAATTCCCCAGACATAATCAATCTGTAACAAACACAGCAGAGGAGTGATAGAGCTGATAGCATCAGCTAAACAATACAATTAGGCCAGGCACTGGGTCATGACGATGAGATCTATTTCTTGGCCTTGTTCTGTCATTAGTTGAATAAAGTGTTTTTGCCTGAGGCCCCCCTTTTAAAAAAAAAAGAGAAATAATAACTCAGCACCAAGTTAGCTTCTGAATCATATAAAGAATTGGATGGGTCCTTCTGGCAAAGTCAGGTTTGTAGTTTCTAGATAATTGCTCCTTCACTGGCTCACATTGAGCAAGTATCTATCATGTGCGTGCTTTGTGCAAATCATTAGAGAAGGAACATGAGAAATAAAATCTACAGTCCCTGTCCTCAAGAAATATTTTTCCAGGGGAAATATGGCATGTCCGTAAATAAGTATAATGGATGTCAGGTACATGTGCAGTTCATTGGTGCGTAGCTGCAACTGTTAGTATCTTCGAAAAAGCCTGAGTTAGATCTGGTCGTCTCTCTTTGTCTCGGTGTGCTCAACAGAAGTAGGTAACCAGTGAAGAAAGTGGAGCACATGACCTTGGGAATTTGAAAGATCCAGAGGGCTTTTCTACACCCTGTCCATTCTAGTGTTTATTTCCCAGTCAGTGCAGCTTCAATGCCCAGAGGAACAAGGAGCAACTTTGGAGAATTACCTTCAAAAACTCAGCCCAGTGGTAGTTGAGAAGAAGCTTCATCTAACAGGCATGATACATCCAGGCTTAAGCTTGGTGGCACCAATGCTGTGTAGGAACTGAGCTAAGGTGTGAGCCTAATTGCCCTCTCCCCACCCAGAGACCAAGGTGGAGTAGGGGGGTCACCACAGTATTTAGGGAAAGTTTTTTTATGTTCTTGCTGTATCTTTGAAGTAAATATCTTTTTTTTGTAAGAGCTCATCTGAAGGTAAGTGGTTAAATGGAAGTGGGGGTGCTAGCCACTACCTCCCCCCAACAAATGAAGGAAATGTGGTCAGGGCTCAAGACAATGGCAGAGAAAAGAGATCCCCACAACCACCCTCAGGGTACCTGAGAACCATAAGGGAGAGATGCAATAGTCCTGACCCTGAGGGAGCAGGGCTAGGGCAGACATGTTATATAAATTTAATATAGGATAAGGAGAGATAGAGGCAAAAGAGAGATCAAAGGAAGGTATTCCAAGAATATTTGAGAGAGAGAGAGAGAGAGAGAGAAGAGAGAGAGAGAGAGAGAGAGAGAGAGAGAGAGAGAGAGACTTTCAGTGAGGAGATGGGGTATCAAAGACTTCCCAGAGAACCTCACCTGAACCTTGAAGAAAGAAAAGGAATCTGTGTCATACCTCCTTACTGGATTGTGAATTCTTTAAGGGTAGGTACTATGACTTATCTTAACTTTGTATTTTAATATGAATGGGTGAGATTGAAAGGTAGGAACACAAATTAATAACCACATGGAAGAAATATTCAAAACCTCTAACATTTGACTTGGAGTCAGGAAGACGTGAGTTCAAATGTAGCCACAGATACTTACTAGCTATGTGACCCTGGGCAAGTCATTTAATCTCTGTCTGCCTCAGCTTCCTGAGGGTGTAAAATGAGGATAATAGTACCTGCCTCTCAGAGTTGTTGTGAGGATAAAATAAGATAATATTTGTCAGGGTCTTTATAAATCTTAAAGCTATGTAAATGCTAGCTATGATGATGAAGAGGATGAGGATGATGATGATGAAAAAAACTGAGTTCTAGCTGACACCCATAAAATTGGCAAAAAAATAATAAAAGATAAAATTTAGAGCTAGTATGGCATATTAATAAGTTGCTGGTAGAGCAATTAATTGGTTCAATGTTTGTGGAAAGTAATATGGAATTATCAAGACAGAATTACAAAAATGTTCATGATCTTTGCCACCACTGTATATATCGCCTAAGGAAAGGGGGAAAAACCTTTCTGAACAAAATAATTCCTAGCAGCATTAGTTGAAATAGGAGGGAACAGCCCCTAGAAACAAATGACAGGTCCATGATTGGAAAATGGCTTAACAAATGATGGTACATGCACGTAATACAATATTGCTGTACTACAAGAAAGAATGAATATGAAAAATTCAAAGAAACATAGAATGACATGAAATGAAGCAAGGTTAAGAAAGCAGAACAAAGAAAAAAATATACACACCAACTACAACCATGTCATTAAAAGCAACATCATTAACAGCAACGATTCTCTGTCAAAATGATCAGGAAAGATGAGACACTATAGGTCTTAGAGAAAAGTATGCTATACTTGGAGTCAAGAGACTACAATCTTGTCTCAGATATTTACAAGCCACATGATGTTGGACAAGTAGCTTAACCTTTCAAGCCTGTTTCCACATCTGCAAAGTATGTATAATAATGCCCATAGTACCTAAATCACAAGGTTGTTATGAGGAACCTAGGAGTAACCTAAAA